TACAATGAGTACTTTTGGTACTTTAAGTATAATTTTATGCTAATACATTTGTACTTTTACTTGAGTTACATTTTGATTGCAGGATGTTTACTTGTTACTGAGTATTGCTACACTCTGGTACTTTACTTTTACTGGAGTACAAGATCTACTTCTTCCACCTCTGTGTCTTCAGCTGATTTTGAAATAACTTTAACAGTGCTGAATCAGGATTTGTGCTTTTTTTTAGCTTCTTTGTGGGCTTCACGTATACTATGGATACTTACACAAATCAAACATAAACTGTTTCACATCGAACAGTTTTAAAAGGGGACCTCGTGTATTTCCATAGTATCTCCAGCAGGAGGAACTGTAACACAGCATTACACAGTTAAGGTAAATTGGTTAACCACTGACGCTAACACCTCACAACAACATTAGTCTACAACATGAACTATAATACAGGTTACTAAGCTAACAACACATTTATCTTCACTATCCGTTGGCTGAGTAACGTAAAACTAGACGTAAAGTAATTTAAAATATGTTGAAATTAAAGATGAGCAACATCGCGAATGTTCATTAAAATATGATGCTTAGCTAACTTATATCACTGTCTAGTTGACGCTATACATTAGTTAAATCTCTTTAACGCTTGATGTTAAGTAATCAGGCTTTTACTGCAATGTTTGCTTAATCCTCAACTGAACACTGACATGAAATCAATAGTCATTCCAGAATTGGAGGACAATTTAGACACCAACATTTTTGAAAAATGAACCTTTTATTTTATAGTTTGTTTTAATGTATTTAGGAAAAACAGATAATAAACCATAAAAAAAGTGATTTGCCCAGCTAAGGCATCAAATGTATATTTTCCAATGAAGAATTACCCCTGTTACTCCCTGTTACTCCTAATTATAGTAACAAGGTTGAAAATCAATGCTAATTTGAGCTTTAACCTCAGGAATTATTGCTAGATGTAGCATGTAATGCTACTTTCAAGGCAAGGACAAACTTGGATATTTAATGAAAGAAAGATAACTTTGAAATTAATATGCTTTATTCTGATAATATGAGTAACAGGGTTGAGTTGGTTAGAGTGCCACACTCTTTTAAGACTGAAAAGATTGTAAAAAATATGAAAAATAAAAGAGAGGACTTAGTTTTGGCCAGCGCCGTATAGACTATCTATATGGCGCTGGTTTTGGTCTACCCATGGCACTAGCACATGCCTTACTGATGTCGCTTCCTCTGTGTCATCTGTTTTACAGTTTTTTCACTTCCTCTGCCAATCTAAAAAGGTTTGGGTAACAGGGTTGAACGCATGTTGAGGGACACACCTTCTGTGCAAAATTACTGTTATTTAAAACATGTTTATGATTTAACAAATTGATTTTACCATTACAAGAGACATATATCAATAGAATAATACCAACAAAAGTAAATAAAATCCCTATTTTAAATGTTATATTTGACATGCAAGTTGGTCACCAAGAAGCGGGGACAAGAGCAAAAGGCAATTTTAGGGGGTGTTCGAGAGCTATTTGAAAATGTAAATAATATTTTGAAACCACTTATTTCTACAACTTTATATACATTTTGTCTCAATACAAGTATGTTTAACACAACAAGTGCATGTTTTAGCTTTTTGAGCATGGATTATTAGATTTTTAATATGGAGGACATGAAATATCCTCCAACTCTGGAATGACCCAGATAGTTAAAAACGGCATAGACGGATTTGGGTGATATTGACTAGGGTCCCCTCAGGACCCAAACAAGAAGAATAAAAAAATAAAACAGAAAACAATTAAATTAATTATTAACAGTTTGATTGAGTCGTTAAATATTTGCATGATAGAATAAAGGACCTGTGAGATTTGCTACTCAAATAACTAAATTAAATTGAGCAGCAAAACAAAGAAGTGAGAAACAAACAGGGGTTTGAGGTTAACTGTGTAGTTGACAAGTTCAATCTTTCATTCATGGTTGTGTTCAGTGAGAAGGCTTCCATGTGCATCACTCAGTATATTTGTCCCCAGTGCATGTTCTTGGCTTCCCCTCCATCGGACCAGCTGTGCTGCAGGCTGGAGCCGGTCCAGTGTGCATGTGTAGAGTAACCAAGCAGGGTTTTAGGCTGTTTGAGTTGTGTGAGAAGGAGGGCGACAGGCCACCTGCCATAGGGGCTTGCCCTGTTCAGATCCCCAGCCCTGCCTTTCAACTGGGAGCCAAGTTAGGGTTCTTTCATGTGGGCCTGATCTCCTTAAGACGTCAGCAAATATTGAACAAGACTCAGTCCAGACTCAAACACATCTGTTGTCATATATTCTCTACTGTTAGGCACAGACATGGAGAGAGAGAGGGAGTGAACACCAGTGGGTCTGTTGCATTAGCTTCCATGTGTGGACAGAAAGCTATACTTTATACTTTGCAAACACAAATGCTCACTCTCGACGAGCTTAGGCTAAACCATGTTCCACTGTAAACAAATATAGGGCTGTGTGAAATAGTTTGAGTTTGGTATGACAAGGCGGCCACTGACTGCCAGATTCGCGCTGAAGATCAGACATGAGATAAGACGAACAGATAGCCAACATTTCATATGCCTCAGTCATGTTGTAGAATCCATCAACAGTATTTTGGGAGCGTTTTGGACAGATAAGAAGGCCAGTTGTATTGTAGAATTAGCATAGATTATGGAATTAAGAGTTTTTCTCAAATACTTGGAGCCTTAAGAGAATACATATTAGAGGAAGTGTAAGGCATGTCAAACTTGAAACAGACAAAAGCCCCAGAAATGCAAATACATATTAAAATCAACAATAAACAGATTCACAGGAAGGGAATAAACAGTCTGTAAAACTTAGTCTACTGTTAGCTCGACTGTTTTAGCATAGTTTCGGTTCTTCAGTGTGCATTTAATGTCATCCAACTGTGTCATTGTATCATTTATTTTTTTTCTGATCCCACATAATAGAAGTAATGCTCTATTACCCACCACAAAAAGACTTGGGTAGGACTCATCCCTAGACTTTGTCATTCTCATAGTCGTTGAAACTTGTCCTTGTGTGACAGGTATGGCTGGTTTTACCATGTTTTGCCTCTCCACCAATCAGCTGCCTTCAAAATTCTCCTGAAGAAGAAAAGGACACTGACTACAGGTTGTATTGCCTGAAGTACTTCCTCTTCGACCTCATAGTTGGGATGGTTGTGCTGCCTCCTTACAAATGTGTTGTTGCTCTCGGTGGAGATTGATTCAGTGTGTTGGTTTTTCAAGCTGTACGGCAGTGGTCGACTGAGCAGGTATAGTACTTGTTATTATTATACTGCAATGTAGTATTACTTGGGTAAAGTAGTTTATTCAGAAATGTTTATGTTATCAGATATCAGGCCTCAGCACTATTGGTAAGATAGCCTCTCACCTTTGTTTTGCTGATTTATTGTAGTTTAGATAAAAGCATTGTTTGTGTATGCTGACAAATCCTTGAAAGTGCTTAATCTGACATTGTGTTGATACTTCTTGACCTAAAGTCCCCTCTACAGTAATAAAGAGCCTTTTTGATATTTTATTTGAATAAAAGTGTTAAGCTAAGGAAGAAAAAAATGGGAAAATATTATTTTTAGTAGGGGTGCACCAAATGGGAAATTCTTGGCCGAAACCGATACCGAAAATAGGAAACAGTTGGCCGAAAACCGAATGCCGAAAGGCCGAAAATGATTAATAGAAATATATATTATAATGTATACATTTTTTACCAATGTTGTTCAGCTGCCTGATTATGGAAAAAGACATGATTATGGCAAAAATTAACTTAACTTAACTTAACTTAACTAATAATCACTATTATGGGTCCATAAAACATTTATTCAGCACTTTTGAATGCATACAGTCCATTAATTCCAAGTCAAGTGCATTTTCTTTTCTCAGTAGGATAACTACAACAAAGTGAATTCAGAACAAAGCCAAGGTGCTTTAAAACTACATAAACATCTAGGCCAGTAGGCCTACAACAAAATAGTGTAAATAAAGACTGTAACAGCCAGGCCTTCAACAACAACAAATGCACCTATAAGTGCATGCATACAAATGTGCAAACTGGATAAATCCACATGAATGTAACTATTTACAAATGAAATTACAATTGAATGTCAAGAATCTGTAAATAAGGCTTTCTGTCCTCATAAGCAAAGTAGTAAACATTGTATAAAGATACATAAAGTGAAAACTGGATACAAAATCCACAATCAATTACAAATTAAATTACAATTTCAAGAATCTGCAAATAAGGCTGTCTGTCCTCATGAGCAATGTAAACAACATTGTATCATTTAGATACCGAAAGTACAATATATTGAACACTGCTGCTGTCATTTCCCCCTAATGATAACCTGAGATGGTGAATTATAACTCACAATGAAAATTGTTCAGGAAAGTGGGTATAGAGTAGACATGTAGAACTAGATAAGCTTATGATAAGCCAGACTTGTCTACTTATTAAGGAAAAGTGGGAGGTTCTTTTTAATGAACATAGCTTCTCTGCTTTATCAGCCATAAGTCTGTTCCTCTTCTCATCAAGCACATGAGAGGCAGCGCTGAACAGTCTCTCGCTGTCAGTGCTTGTGATTTGATCTTACTCCGCATATTTGTCCGGGTGTTTTGATTTCAAGTGGTGGAGTAATCCCGAAGTGGTGAAAGTCTTTGCAGTTACACCCCCTCGAGAAATGTCAGCTGAACACGTTTTACAAATCGCAATCCGCAGCTCTTTTCCCTCCTG